TAAAAAAAAAAAAAAAAAAAAAAAAGAAACCTTAAAATTTAACATGTTTGTATCCAGCAAGACTTGGCAGATACGGGCCTGTGACACAGAGGATTTAATACTCATTCTCCTAGCTTTCCAAAGCTAGACCTTGCAATAAATTTTGCTAGTTGTGTGGCCTCATCTTTGGCCAAGAGACTGGAGAGGCTCTGGGTGGTGAATATGCTGCCAATGAGATGCTTGGGTTGTTTTGGTAGAAAACTCCAGAAGAGGACCTGCCACCAGAAAAACCTCCTGCTGAGACTTCGGCCTCAAAAGATCCTCTGAACTCTTTGAAGATCAGGCCAGTCTCCCAGCCTTTCATGAGACCAGCCATGAAGAATGAGACTGAAGAGTATGAGACATGGATAGACAGATTCAGGAAGTTAGAAAACGCCCTCTACCTGTGTGATCTGAGTAATACAGGTGAAGTATGAATCTTAAAGCTGATGTGCTTTTCTATGTGTATTGTAGACTAAAAGTGGACGGCTCATTTCCTTTCTCTCTTAAACAAATAATACAATGTGTGTATAAACCATGCACATGACATTGAGTTACGTACAATCAGGAAATATAAAGATAGTGAGACATGAGTTCCCTGCTAGGTTACTTACAGTCTTTTCGTGTCTCTGATCCTAACTTTCCTTCTCTCTGTGACTAAAGTCTAGCCCATAATTTAGTCTTATAATTATCCTGATTGAATACCTCAAGGTCTTTCTACTGCTAATGGAATGAACACCAAATTCCTTAGCAAGGTGAAATCTGGTCCCTGTCTGCCTAACCAGCCTCTTCTCCTACTGCTGTTATTCTCTTAACATATCCTACCCAGTCAAAACAAATAACTTATCCTCAAACGTGCCTTGCTTTCTCAAGTGGCTGTGCTTTTCTAGGCCTTCCACCCGAGTCTTCTGCTTTTCCTCAGCCAACCATACCCCCTGCCAACTCCCTATCTTGTCCACCTGACTAATTAATGCTTTAACATCTTTCATGTTCGAATTCAAGCCCTACTTCTCTGGGACTCCCCCAGGCAGATCTAGGCCAACCTTCATCTGGTCTCCCAGGCTTCCTTAAACCTTTAGCATCTATTTTCATATTTACTATATTGTGTGTGTGAATGTAGTGTGTGTATGTGTGTGTGTGTGTGTGTGTGTGTGCATGTCTTTTATTTGGGAACTTATTACTATCTAACCAGTAGTCTGTCTTCCTTAGTTTTTTTGCTCTTGGGTACATGCACTCACCAGAGAAAGAGGAGATGTGTTTAACATCTTTTTGAGGGAACAAATAAATGCATTGATATGTATAAAAGACTAAATACAAGATGGAAGGTGGTAGAATCCATTAGAGTGTGTTAGGTGACATTCAGAGAAAGGAGAATTCCTTTCTGGTGGGATTATCAAGGAAGGCTATGTCGATGTTAAATTGATGATTAAATACAAACTACAGTTTGGACACAAAGGAATGAAATAGTCTTTCTGGCAAAGGTGCAAAGTTAACCAAGTAAACTGCTATGTGTGAAGCTCAATGTGAGGAGTTCAATTTGGATAGAAGACAGGGACTATTCAGAATATTAAATGATAAAGATGGAAATATAGAATGGGGCCAGATATTGAAAGGTTTTAAATGCCTGACCAGGGAATTTGGACTTAAGTCAAAGAGAGTGAGTAGCACTGATAGTATCTATGAAAAGGAGTGAAATGACAAAGTTATACTTCATAAAGATCCTTGATGACCATGTGCGGAATGAAGAAGATATGAAATAAAGGAAAGCAGAAAGGAGGTTTTTGAAATGTCCAAGTCAGAAAGAACAAAGAGTAGGGGGTCAGCGACCTGTAGAATGCAGAAGAGGGAGCAGGTACAAAGAGACATGGACTAGAACTGTCACACTTAATTACCTAGTATGGTTCGCTAGCAGTGTACATACTACTACACTCCAAAAATAATGTAACTATAGCAATGTCTGTCTTTTCATTCAATGTGATTTTGTTTTGTTTTGAATTGCCAAAGCAACTTAATTCTGAACCACATGAAATATAACTACCATGTAAAACCCAAGGGTTTTAAACAATTATACCCAAGAAAGAAAGAAATCTGAAAAGTTGAAATAAAAATCCACTGAGCTAAATCATAACTTAATTTATTAAAGATATGTTATGAGCCCAGCACTGTGCTACAGGCTAAATCAGAAGGAAAATCGGAAGGATGAGACATGATCTCTAGCTTTAAGATGCTTACATTTTAGATTAGGCATAGAGACTGGCACCAGTAGCTCAACCTATGTAAAAAGGAAGGAAGGGGGACCAGCAGGTGGTGTAGTAGTTAAGGCGCTGGACTCCCACATGGCAACCCAGTTTAAGTCCCAGGCCTGGATGCTTGCTTTCTCATTTTCCTTTTATCTCTTTCTCTCTCTGGTCAAATTAAAAAATAATAATAATAAATAAAATTAAAATGAAATAATTTCTCTTTAAAAAAGGGAGGAAGGAAAAAAGAAAAGAAAGAATTAAAGGACAGTATTCAAGTGTCATCATTGAAAGTGTAAATGAAAGTTAAAGAGTTAAAACAAGAGAGAGGGGGGAACCAGATGGTGGCACAGCAGTAAAATGTGGTGCTTTGCAAGTCTAACCTACATAGAGAGGTTCCAGGTTTATGTTCAGGGAACCCCTGGGCACTGCAAGTATGCACATGCCCTTGATCTTGTCTGAGTGGGGTGACTCATGGCATCAAGACTCTGTTGGGGGTACTTATCTCTTTAACTCTCTCTCTCTTTCTGTCTCTACGTATTTCTATCTCACATATGGAAGAAATGAATAAATAAACTGAAAAAAATGGAAACAGAAGAGATGGAAGGCCCTTCACTATCTAATATGACCTGTGGTACTCAGAGAGGGCTCCATAGGAGAGAGAGAGAGCTTGAAGTGGGAACTGAGGAGAGGTAGGCTTTGGATAATTGGATAGGCCATGACAATCTTGAAACCATCTTCTGCAAAGATTAAAAGGTGGGATGAGTGTGATGGAGTTGAGATTGAGCAAGATAATAATGGAGATTCATGCTGTATTGTCTAGTGAAGTGGACTCTTATTGTGAATACCGAGGGCTAGGATAAAGTTTCATTCTCTGCACAGAATCCACCAAAGGTTCAACCAAAGTGAGCATAGTGAAAACTGAGGTAGATTATTTAGGGAAGATACTGGAGCAAAGGAAATTGAAAGGTTATTGAAATAACCCTGAGTCTAGGTAATCATACCAGGAGTATGAAAATGATGATAGGATTACAGCAAAAGCAACAAACACATTAGGAGGAAAAAAAAAAGATAGAAAAGACAATTATAAAGAAATAAACCCATTTCAATGATGGATAATGGATCATAAATTTAGTTGCTCAGAGACTCCCCAAAGCCTGAGACCTTTCTCATGCTTCTGAACTGTTCGGAGGAAAAACGGAGTTTTGTTGACTTTGGAGGCAGATTTTGACAGATTTGAAATGCCTTTCTCATGGCCTCTTCACTATTTATGCCTGTTTTCTCTGTTTCTATGAAATTCATTAGTTCCTCAACAGCCAAGGAATGTGTCAGCCAGATCTGGGAACATCTACAACTGTCTTTAATGAGGAAAGAGGATTAACTGAGGTCATTTTGTTGGTTTATTAGCCGTAGTACTTAACAAACCACCAGAGCCCCATTCTAGATGCTGAGCAGATGATACCTCCTTTGCCCATGGATGAATCACTCTTCTTTATTATGTGCAAGGAAATATGTAGGCCAGGGTGTTCTTCATCCAGGATGAAGGCAGACCATCCATCATCAAATCAGAGTTTCTGGGAACCCACTGTGCTTATTCTCTAATGGGGGTTGTCAAGAAAATAGCCTTAAGGAGAAAGAATAAGGAATGACTATGAATAGCTGCTCATGTTTTCTAAAGAAAAAAGGATGGTTGAGATAAATGTCTGGGTGAATGGTGCATTTGGAATTTTCCCAGTGAAATGAAAAGATAGAACATATTTTCAAGTTCAAGGAGGCAGAATGCAGCAAGAGCCTTAAAGGACATTCTCTGAAGGGGCCTAGATTTTGCATACACTGCACACTGAATCCTCTCAGTCACTACACACTGAAGGGCTTAATATCCTTATTGCAGAGGAGAAAGATAAGCTCAAAATGATCAAATAATAGTCATAGGAAGTTGGACTGTAATTCAAACCAATTCTGTTTGACTTTCCGCAACACTAACTCCCATGTATGCTGGGAAAATCACAAGGTTTTGCTTGATTCTTTAATTTTTTTTTTTTTAAATAAAATAGATTCAAGTCCAGATTCTATCAGTTGCTGAGCCCTGGAAGCCAGTTACTTACATTCTCTGAGCCTGTTTCCTCACGTATGAAATAGGGTGGAAAATAAGAAAAACACACTTCCCAGATCTGACGAAGGATCAAATGAGTTAAGAGACATGAAAGTTCTTTGTGAACTGTAAAATGAAGTGGATATTAAAGTGTTTCTTTCATTTTGGTTCTGGCTGGAAAAGGACAGGCTAAGATGGATTGTCAGGGTTATTTTATGCAGCTGTTCTGGATCTCTCCTAAGACAGTAAATTGGACAGATACAAATTTTAGTCGATGGACTTTTGTTTGACATTAGACATCCTCTACCAATGAAAAGGCCTAGAAATAGAAATTTCCACCATGATTCCTACATGTATTTTTAACATTATTTTTTAATTAAAATACATAATCTCTCACTATTAAAATTTTATTTATATAGACATTAAATTATGTTGCTGATAAAATGATAATTATCCTGTAGTAATACTGTATTTATATAGACATTAAATTACGTGGATGATAAAATGATAATTATCCTGTAGTAATACTTGTCATTAATGAGTGCTTACTAGTACTGGAAATTATGCTAAACACTCAAATTTTATTGATTTTTCACACAGTTAATTCTATTTTAAAGTTAAGGAAACTGAGGCTAAAAGTTCAAATAACTTCTCAAGGTCTTATAGTCAGAAATTTACTCCAAAGCCTGAGTAAGGCTTTAATATAAACAATTCATGGTTTATATTTCAGAGACAAGATATGGGGTAATGTCCAGAGGGAGCAAACTTAGGTAGGGCAGAAGCAGCCAAATAATTCGAGTAACTTTAAAAGATGCAGTTGGGCAGCCAGCAGATGGCATGGTGGTTAAGGTGCTGGACTCTCACCTAGCTGACCGTGGTTCAGACCCGGCAGCTTGAAACCCATGCTGGGTATATGTGCAGGAGTGCTCAAAATCCCAAGAGGAGAATGGATTATGATGTAGCCATGCCCCTTGGGCAATGATATCTCTCTCTATCTCTCTCTCTCTCCCCCTAGTGAGCACATGTGCCCTGTAGAAAAAAATCTCTCTTTAAAAAAATAAAAGATATAGTTGTCTGAGCCAGCTAGTGGCATGGAAGTTAAAGTGACTGAATCCCACTTAACCAACTGCACAGGTCAAAAGCTAGGCCCAGTGGCTTGAGGAACACACTGGGCACATGTGTGTGCATGCCCAAAATCCTGAGAGGAGAATGACAAAGAAGGGATTTCCAGGTGGCCATTCCCTCAGGGGGTTAGGAGGTGATTTTTCACTTTCCCTCTCTTTCTGTCTCTCTCCAGGGAGTGTACACACTCCCTGCAAAAACTAAAAGAAAGAAAAAAAGATACAGTTGGACAACTTAAAGAATGAGGTTTATATGGAAGAAAGGACCAACATTCTACAGGAGAAATGGACAATACATAGGCAAGAAATAAACCAGAATATCACAGACAATAGATGAACTGTAATGGAATGGGGTGAAGTATTGTGGATCACATCAAAATCCCACCCATGTGTGGCTCAGGGTTAGGAATTCCCACTAGAAAGTGGCTTAGAGGAAAACAGCATGCTCAACAGTCCTTGCGCATGTGTATGTGAGCACTAGTTGATAGCTTAAGTCGAGATGTCAAGTGTTCATCACTGCCCATTCTACAAAATGACCCAGGTCTTGGATTCTTTGAAAAACAATTTCACAGTCATTCTTACGACATCTACAGGTGAAGGTGAACAGAAGAGGAGCAGAAAAAGAATGTATTTATTTTTTCTATAAAAGACATTTCAGAGGTTTTCCTTGTCATCTGGGCCATACATCCTCACAAAGATCATATTTAAGAAACAACAGACTCTTTTTTACTACTCTATAATGTGGTGTAGCAGCTACCATGAGCAATCTTAGGCAAGTGACTTAGCACCTGTAGGCCTTGGTTTCTCAATGGGTTGTTGTAAGTGTTGAATAGGTTAATATTGGTAAAATGCTTGGATCAGTGCCTGAGACATAGTAAATTTTATATACAAATAGTAGCTATTGTTATTGCTCTGTAGTTACTTTTCTGCATAGCATCTCCCCAGTGGGTCAAGGAGCTTCTGGAGTTAACCAATCATTACTCTAAATCCTCTGTATTTTCCAGCACAGTGTCTGAAACATGGACACTCACAACTAGGAGCTTAGGAATGAGTTGCTGATTTTGGATGATGCCATGATCTACATTTTAACTCTTCTCAGCCTCTCAAAATCATCCTTACCTGAACATGGAAAGCTCATTGGCATGCCTACCGGCATATATAAACCGTGGGTCCAAGAGCATGTCTTGCAATGATATACAGCACTGCTTCTATTACACAAGTTCAGACATGGAGCCACAAGAAGTTAGATCATTTACCTGTGATCATACAGGAAGCCGGAGAGAGTCACAGTAAACACATTTCCAGAAATGCATTTATAATGAGTTGTTTAAACCCTGCATGTTTAGGAACAAGTTTGAGGATTCAACAAGATTAAAAGAAACCAGAACAATTAGGAATTATGTCTAGCAGGCACCCCCAGCTGTTTCAAAAATTGGTCTTTAAAGTTGTGTGGCTACAAAGAACAAGCTTAAATTGCTTTGGAATTTATCTATGGATTTTATTGAACTTCATCTCCTTCTATCTCCCTCCCCACCAAATTACCCTCGAATTCTTCCTAAAGTGTATGATCTATATCCAGGACTATATTATTTTTAAGATGTCACTTGATTTTTAAGAGGCTTAGTTTCAAAATATTAGCATTCAATATTTATCTGGAAGTTATTCAAACTGTTATAGATGTGTCTCTGTTTTCCTCTTCCACTCTAAAATGTCGTCCATTCACTCAACCCAATCACAGGAGTCCTAGAGAAGGATCGGGCCAGACGTCTCATTCACAACTACAATCTCATTTACAACCTGTCCCTGAGCCCTCGGAAAATCGACCAGGCCTTGCGGAGATTCCGTTCGGGAGAAAATATGCTCTTGGAGCCAGCTCTGCGGTACTTAAAGGAACTATGATAACAAGCCCATATTGCGAGAACAGATGTTTCCCTTATCTCCCGTTTTACTCAGACATTACACGTTTCTCCCTGCCCAAGTAGACTGTCAGAGTTGAGACCAATGCAGCAATTGTAGATGCTTTTAACCTGGACTTGGTTTCTGGCTATGATGTTTGCTCATGAGTAGCTCAAAGTGATCGGAGAAACCAGATTTTGTTTCTGATGTGGCAAGAATCCAATGACTTAGAATCCTCTTCTATTATAATAAAAACTTATTATTAATATTGCATGTTTGTTTTCATTTAACATTGCTAATGAAACTGTGTTTTTACAAACACCACAATTCCATGTATACAAAACACACCTGATATTGTCAACTCCCCAAACTGTGTGCCCCATAGTATACCTAAATACATCATTTTTGAATAGGCAAATCAGCTATTCCCTAGCCCTATTCTATAAATGTTTTTAACATTATAGGAAAAATGAAACAGATCAGCCTCGAAGCCTGGTGGTTAAGGGAGCAGATCTCACATGGCAAATCATTCAGTTAAAATCTCTGACCCAGAAGCCCAGTTATGCTAGGCATAGCTGTGTGCATGCCAAAAATCCTGACAGGGTGGAGAAGTGGAGAAGAAGGGATTGCAGTGTGACCATGCCCCATTAGGGTTGCTTTCTTTCTCTCTCTTTTATTTTTCTCTTTGACAACTGGCAAAAAAGAAAATAAGTATTAGATCAAACAACTTAATATACATTGAGCAACTACTAAGTGCTAAGAACTTGATATATTTTTTTCATCTAATCTGACAACTTAGTAAGACAGGTTCACAGGCTCATTTCTTATGTTTTAATCTAGATAAAATTAAATTTTTAATAATTTTTTATTAATTTTAATTATTATTTATACATTTAATTGCTATATATCTTTTAGATTTTAAAGAGACTTTACCCATCATGACACATACCTCAGTCCAGCCCAGTTGAGAAAATACACACATCCTCATCGACAAATAATAAACAATATCTGCATCCCACAAATGCCTTCTCTCTTCATTTTTTTCTCCAAATTTCCTTTCCTACACTCTTCCCCTCCCACACCTCCTTCCACCTTGGTTCCTGTGTCCATAACAATTTTTAATGCTTGTATGTCCTCCAGTCTTTCAGTCTCTGCCATAGAGTGCTGAAAGTTGATATATGCTAAGGGGAGACATGCACGGTCTCTCTTTCATAGCCTGACTTGCTTCACTCAGCAACAGATTTCACAGATGGTCTAAAAGAAGAGAATGTTTGTGTGAGTGTGTGTGTAAGTGCAGACATTCATTTAAAAGACATGCTCATGGCTGAAGTTAATATTCATTAGGTTTTGTCTGAGTAAACATCTAGAAAATTAAAATTTGGACCAGCCAGTAGAATGGTAGTTAAGGCAGCTGGATCCTACATGACTGAATGTGTGGTTCAAGTCCAGGACCCTATGGCTTGAAAAACATGCCAGACACATGTGTGTCTGTGCCCCCAAATCCTGTGAGGTGAATGGAAGAGAAGGAATTACAATGTTCCCATCCCCCCAGGGGAATTTTTTCTCACCTCTCTCGCTATCTCCTCCCCCGCCCCCAGACTCCCGGTGAGCACATGTGCTCTATAGCAAAAATTTAAAAATAAAACAAAAAACTAAAACTCAACCTAAGTCATAGAGAAAAAGAGTGACAATGTGACAACAGAGGTTAGACAAGGCCTGGTTATGAGGCAAACCACTGGGCAAAAACAGGAGTATGCTGTGAAGTCATTATCCTTAAGAATATTGCATACTGTCTATGCTGAAACTTCATGGTTTTCATATGAAAAATCTCTCCCCTCTCTTTCTTTCTCAGATCAGTGACATTTTGTATACTTCCTGTGGCTGTGTCATTGTGAATTTCTAATAAACCCTAAGAAGGAAATGAGTGGTGTCAGTAGTCTTGACCAGCTTCTTCCAGCAGAACCTACCTAATAGTGTCTGCCTACATTTGACTAGTTAACTTCTAGTCTACTCTGGAGAGACTTGGTATCAGTGAGGTCTGACACAACTCTTCAAAAGCCCTAGACTTTGAAGATAGGGCATAGGCCTAGCAGATGGCATAGCGGTTAAGACAGTTGGGTCTCACATGACCAAGTACATGGTTTGATTCCTGGACCTGATGACTTGAAAATTACATTGGTCACATGCACATGCATGCCCAAAATCCCAAGAGGAGAATGCAGGAGAGAAGGGATTGTGGAGAAGCCATTTCCCTGGGAGAGTGATTTCTCACTTTCTCTCTCTGTCTCTCTGGCAAACACATACATCCTATAGTAAAAGCTAAAGGAAAACATAATAATTTTAAAAAGATTATGGAGGAATGACAGTGTGGCAGGATGTCACCAGCTGGATAGAATCCTTCCTAACTGTGTGACCCTGAACAATTCACTACCTATATGAGAGCATCATTCGTGCTAAATGAGATAATGTGACAAATTGCTTAATAGTATGCCTGGCATATGGACATGCTGCATGGGGGAAACTAGCTTATCTTGTTTTTTATACAGAATTCACTTTGCTCCGTTCAATGGGTCAAATCATTAAGTGCCTTTTCCATGTAGAGACACCTTCCCAGCCATCAGATGGCTCACTAATTTTATGGTCCTGTAGGACAGAGACTGTCTTCCACATCCCTTCCTCATCCTCCTGCCTATACTTAACTCCTCACAGTAAACCAAGTAGGTAGGCATTATTGTGCCTATTGTACTGATGAGAAACTATGGCTCAGTGTAGTATATGTTCTTGCCTAAGGACTTAGCGCTAAAAGGTTACTGAGCCAGGATTAGAACTCAGCATGTACAACTACAACAATGCCATATAGGTCATGCAGAGAAAATTACTAGTGGAATTTTCTTTGTTATGTGTGGTCTATCTCCCCAGCAAGCCTGGAGTTACCTCCAAGCTGGGGCCAAGATGTTCCCTATCTTGGTCTACAACACAGAGCTGGGCACCTGGTAAATGTCTGTGGACACTCATGCCCCCACATGAACATTCTGGAAACTCAGCAGCTTTCTGCCCACTTCCAGCGCTCCCAGCTTCATCACCACCTTCTGGGGCCTATAATAAAGGGTGTTTTCAGGACTCTCTGGCTCAGTATATTCACACAACCAGAAACACAACTGCAGAGATGGCACAGTCCAAAGAGTTTGCTAAGTGCCCGCTGACTCCTCAGAGGAATTTCCCAAGATCATTAAGAGAAACAATACCAAGGGGTTTGATATTCTAATTGGGATCAGAAATTGGACAGCTTTGACGCTGGCCAGAGAGCTGTGAGGCTATGAAAACAAATGCTTGCCTTTCTTCTCCCCCTCTCCTCACTCCCTCCTCCTGTAAGAGCCTTTCAGCTACAGTTCCAATGCTCCTTAGCAACAAGGGCGGGGTTCCCAGAGCCTGGGGGCT